TATTATTTCTTCTTGATGCAGTGTCCCTTTGATCATTATATATTGCCCCTCTTTGTCTCTCTTTACCTGTCTTATCTTGAAATCTACTTTGTCTGATATAAGTATTGTGACGCCTGATTTCTCTTGTTTGCCATTAGTTTGGAGTATCGTCTTCCACCCCTTCACTCTGAGACTGTATTTGTCATTGGAGCTGAGATGTGTTTCCTGGAGGCAACATTGTTGGATTTTATTCTTTAATCCATCTTGCCACTCTGTGTCTTTTTATTGGAGAGTTCAGTCCATTTATATTTAGGGTGATCATTGATATATGAGTGTTTAATGCTGTCATTCTGTCACTTGTTTTCTGGTTTTCCTGCATTTCCTTTATTTCTCATCCTGTGTGTTTTGATCTACCCATTGACTTCTGCAGTTTCTTCTGCTGTGTTTCTTTGTTTTTTCCTTATTTATTTATTTTTTGTGTCTCTGTTCTGCTTTTTAGTTTAGTGGCTACCCTGAAGTTTGTCTTCAGAATCTCGTGAATAACACAGTCCATTTTCTGATGGCTTCTTGTTTCCTTAGTCTAAACTGGTTCAGTCCTTTCCTCCTTCCTCCTAAGCTATTATTCTCATATCTTATTCCACCTTCTCTTATGAGTTTGTGTTTAAAGTGACAAGATTGTCTTTGTTTTTGGTGTTTTCCTTCCCTTTACCCTGATGCTATAGTTCAATATCCTATTCTGATTCTTCCTATTTGTCTCCTTACTCTGTGTTTTGTGACCCCTTCTCCCTTTTTTTCTTTTTTCAGGTATGAGGGCCTTCTTGAGGATTTCTTGGGGGGGGAGGGGGTCTCATGGCTATGAAGTCCCTTAGCTTTTGTTTGTCTGGGAAAGATTTAATTTCTCCCTCATATCTGAAGGATATTTTTGCTGGATAGAGTATTGTTGGCTGAAGATTTTTATGTTTTAAAGTTTTGAATATGTCATTCCAATTTCTCCTAGCTTGTAAGGTTTCTGCAGAGAAATCTGCTGAAAGTCTGATAGGGTTTCCTTTGTAGGTTATTTTCTTCTGCTTGGCTGCCCTGAGTATTCTTTCTTTGCCATTCGTTTTTGCCAGTTTTACTACTATATGCCTTGCAGTAGGTTTTTTCACATTGACAAATCTAGGAGATCTGAAAGCTTCTTCCACACACATTTCCTTCTCATTCCCTAGATTTGGGAAGTTCTCTGTTATTATTTCTTTGAGCATGCTTTCTGATCCATTTGCCTCTTCACTTTCTTGGATATCCATAATTCTTATGTTGCATTTCCTCATTGAGTCGTATATTTCTTGGAGACTTTCTCCATTTCTTTTTAGTCTCAGTTCTCTCTCTTCCTCTGTCTGGAGCATTTCAACATGTCTATCTTCGATTATGCTGATTTGCTCCTCTATGATGTCCACATGAGCATTCAGGGAATCTGTATTTTGTTTTATCTCTTCCACTGTGTCTTTCATCTCTAGTATTTCTGATTGAGTCTTCTTTATAGTTTCAATTTCTTTTGTGAAGTAGCTCCTGAACTCATTGAATTGTTTCTCTATATTCTCTTTTACCTTATTGAGTTTTTTGACAATAGCTATTCTGAATTCATAGTCATTTAGTTTACTCATTTACTAGTCCTCAGGACAGAATTCTGGGTATTTGTGTTCTCTCTCGTCAGGAGTTTTGATGAACCAATTGACATCGGAAGAAAGGATTTTTCCCATAGTGATATTATTCGATTGCAGTTACAGCCTGTCACCACTGGATGGGGGTCAAGAGTCACATATTCTGAGCTCTCTGCCTTCTGTACAAATGGCGAGGCACAGTGAGGGTGAGGAGGGATTTCTCTTTCACGCAGTCCCTGGTTTCCCAATAAGCTCTTGCTATCTGGTAACCCGGGGTTTTCACTTGATGAGGTCACTCCACGTGAAAGCTTTCACCCCATTAGAGGGCTTCCCTCTAGGCTGCAAGGGTGCTAGGGAGTCCTGGGTGATCCTGTGTACATGCAACACCTACCCTATTCCTTCCCCCACTGAGCTTCACCCAACAGTGATCCTAGTCTTTAGGGGAGGTAGCAAAGTTCTCTCTTACCCTGTTCCAGCTCCTCCGAGAGGCACTACAGCCTCTCCACCCTCTGTCATTCGGCTGCCATGACTCTCTAAGGATTCCTGTGCTATTAGTATATTTTCTGTTGGAATATGTTTGCTCCTTTTTGTTGTACGTTGGAGGGGAGAGAGGTCTGGGCAAGCTCACTCTGCCATGATGCTGACATCGCTCTTCCCCATAATTTTTTTATTAAGAAAAAAACCTTCATCTTTCATTCAGAAAGGCCTCGTTTTAAAATTTCCATCAACTTCTTACATTCATGAGACGCTGTGTAATTCAGTGTTTGATCCTAAGTCTTTTAACCATAGACAATATAAATTTCTATGCAAATAATTAATAACTGTAGTCTTACATTTTTCTCACTTTTAGATTCCAAAGGTTATTTTTTCCTTGTTTTTAACTTTATATTACCCAAATAACCTACTCCAAAGGCATCTCCTTAAAATTTTGTCTCATGGAACTCCTTCCTTTCAAAGATTGTAACAGCAAATATAAATTCAAAATAAGAAAAAATAAATTTTAATTCTCCCTCATGTAAAAAGAGAGAGACACTCTCGTCTCCCTTTTCTTAAAGTATTTACTTCAGAAAACTTGTAATCATGAATTTTTTCTCTGTCCCTTTGAGATGTACACAAATCTTTTTTAAAAAAAACAAATAAGCCTCTTGCCAGTCTACCATCTAGGATTGTTTTTCTCAAGCACCTGTTAGCCATCTCTTTGAATGTAATCATCAAGGAGGATAGAGCCCCGTCTCCAGTCTCCATGGGAGGTGAGGAGCCTGAACTCAGAGGACACCTTGCTCTGAGTTGCAAACTTGCCTCCTGTCATAAAGATATAGGAAATTTTTCCTTAAGACCCTTATCACACACCAGTGGCTACACCAGGTACCAGATAAACTAAGGAGGAACTATGATAAATGGTGCTGTCAAATCTTTCTACTTGAGGACTAGTTATTGTTTATCTTGATAAAAATGTATGCAAGGAGAAAATGTATCTTTTTGGATATATAAAGGGGTAAAATTTCTTTCTTTCTCTGCAATCTGAAACAAATTGCCTGTCGTGCATATTGTATCCCAGTTTAATGCTTATTCAATAATAAAACTGTTTTATTTCTTTTTTTTTCTTTGTGAAGAGGTGTGCTGGATTGGCGGGAGATTTTTATTTCGTCAGAAGATCACCCCAGGGTCTTTCCATAATCACAGTTCTTACGTGTCTCTCTATCTGAAAAGAGACATGACACTGGAAAGAGTGAAGGTTTCTTATGGTTTTGCCACTTGCTGGCTGTGTAACTATGGGCATTTTCTGTCAACTTTGTGAGCATCAATTTCCTCACAAGTACTTTGGAAGTAAGTATGGCACTTACTTCACAGTGTTGTTGTGAGGATTAACAATGTTTTGTGAATCACCTAGCACAATGGATTAAAAAATAAAAAAAACTTGAAAGTAAGAACCACAGCTTCAATAAGTTATACTCAGAACTTCATTTGAGTCTTAATTTGTGTTCTCTACAGGGAATATGGAGAGGACACAGTTCCTGCTTTCAAGGAACTCACTCTCATGGTGATGGAAGGCTTTTTACTAGTTCCTACACCCATCCTTCTCCAGGGCTGGAACTTGAAGAATCCTCTGACCTAAAACCTCCATTCAGAGCAATAATTTCTAAAAACAACTCGCCATACTCCTAGCATTCTGTAATGAATGGAAATGACGGTATGAGCTTTTGTTTGTCCAGAAATTCTTTCCAACCTCTGACTGTCATTGTCCCCTGCACCATGCATATAAGATCATTAACTCAAGGATAAGAAAAATAAAAGCAAAGAAAGAGGCAAATAAAGAAAAAGGAAAGTACGTATATGAAGAAGAAGGTGGGAAAATACAGGGTAAAAGAAAAAGACAGAGGATGAACTGAAAGTCATTGTCTCTAGGAGTTTCTCAACAGCAGCATTATTAATATTTGAGACCAGATGATTCCTTTTGCACGCAGGGACTTTCTTGTGCATTGCAGGATATTGAACAGCATCTCTTGCTTCTACTCATTAGACACCAGTAGTACTCCCTCCCTTCCCCAGTTGGGACAACCAAAAATGTCTCTAGACACTGCCAAATAGCCCTTGGGGAGAATGGCCCCTGGTTGAAAACCAATGGTCTATACATTAAATTGATAGAGTAGAAACTTTTGGGAGATAGATAGATAGATACTTTTTACATTACATCTATGTCCTAAAAGTTTCTACTCTATCAATTTAGCATATAGACCATTTAACATTGACTGCTTCTGTCCTTTCCACATACTTATGTATTTCATTTCATATTTTATATATATGAAAAAGACCAAGGGATTAAATGTTTTTCTTTCTACTATTATGACATATTTCTTATTTCTATAATGTTTATATGCGCTAGACTATTATTATGTCATTTGACTTTAATAAATTCAATAAATAAGATACGTGGAAATTAAAAAATGAAAATTGGTCATATATATTTACATTATATATGTGTATATTAGATATATAATGTATGTATAATAGATACATGTATGATAGTATACAAGTATGTATAATGTATATTTGTATATTTTATACAAGTCATATATACAGTCATTCACATCTGAGAAAAGTTTCTCAGTCTGATCATTTCTCAAGTTTTAGCTTGGTCAATATCTCTTATCTATGGCTCTTCATAGACATATAAACTATTTCTCTATTCCTCCAGTAGGTTACACTTTTTCACACACATTATTCTACAAATACCCAGAGTTACAGAGAAATAGATTCTTAGACCCTAAAAAAAGAACTCCTCCATTATTCCCAACACACACACACACTCACACACTCACACTCCACAGTGTGTAGAAGGTGAACTAAGCCACAGGGAGGTGGAGCTTCTCACTACAAAGCTGAGTGACAACACTTAGGAGTGGCTGCTGCTAAATCTGGCTCATGAAACTCATGGGTTACAGAAACAAAATTAGCTACAAATTCAAGATATGATGCATACCAGTATTTAGAGGGACTTGCTATCAAGGTGTTCCTTATAGCAAGAGTAAAGGATCATGAAGACACAAGTAGGAGTGTTGCTGGGCCTCCTGTGGATACAAATTTGCTGTGAGTAAAGAACACCCCAGAAGGAACCTGGAGGAATATCACAACTGAATTTGGAAAGGAGCAAGGGAGGAAAGCAGAGATGGAGGAAGAGAGGGAACATGAGTCTCTTGGGCTGTGTCCTCTACCATGGGGATGGAAGCTAGAGGAACATTTTCTACACTTGGAAACAATTACAGTCATTTTGCAGTGACCCTCACCTGTCCCTATTTTCTCTTTCTCAACAGGGGTGGAAGCTCAGATGAAGGTGGAGCAGAGTCCTGGGGTCCTTATCCTCCAGGAGGGGAGCAATGCCTCTCTGACGTGCAATTGTTCTAGCAGCATGACCCGTGTGCAGTGGTTCCAACAAAATCCTGGAGGACCCCTTATATCTTTATTTTACATGACCTCTAAACCGCAGGAAAAAGGAAGATTAAAATCCACAATCAGTACCAAGGACCGTTACAGCCACCTCTATATCAGAGACTCTCAGCCTGGGGACTCAGCCACTTACTTCTGTGCGGTGGAGCACAGTGCTCTCCAGACACCTGCAGCCTGTACAGAAACCAGAGCTGAAGACCTGATCCAACCCCCAGAGGGAGAGCAGGGGCCCAGCGTAATTAGGATTGTATTCCTATTGTCTTGCCTCTCCTGACTCATGCAGAAGGCATTTCTAAATGAGCTACAACTTGACACTACAGTGCAGGCACATACATGGTTCATCTGGAGATCTCTGTGGGGATAGTTTTACTAGACAAAATCTATAGATTGATCAAGTCTCTCCTATCTAATTCTGTCTTTTTGGACAGGAGTAAGCAGCCAAAGTGTGGAGCCGAGTCCTTGATCTCTCCATCTCTGAGAGCAAGAAAGCACCAATATCACCTGTACTTTCTTTTCTACATCTTTATAGCTTATGTTGGTACAGACAGAACCCTGGGAAACCCTCCATGATCCTTTTTCTAATGCACTTAAATGAGGAAGAAAAGGAGAAAAAATAAAGGTCCACTCTTAGTATGAAAGATTGGCATAACTTTCTGCATACCAGACCAGAGACTCAGCCACCTTCCTCTGTATCGTGGAGGCACAGTGCTTCCCAGACACCTGATGCCTGAGCTCAGACATGTGGCTGCAGCCCCCAAACCCAAAAACCTAGTGATGTCTGTATGTTTTTACTCACTTCTGACATGGTGTTGAGAAGTGTGTGATTGATAAATCAAAGTAATGTCACTTTCAAAAAATTTGGAAATACTGATGAGTATTCAATCTAGTAACAATCTCTGTCCTAAACAGAACCATTCCTAATCTCCTAATCTCTAAGTCAGAGAATTGGTGATTCAGCTCCAGTCATAGGATTGCTCAAACCTGTGTTAAAATTGATACTTTTAATCTGACTGTTGTTTACTCTTACCCTATATTATGTTTATGTATGAAGGGAAATCCTAAGAAAGCCAAACTCTTAAGTGTCAAAGAAAAAACAATGCTATGCCCTGTCATCCCTCACTTATGTTTTATTCTGGCTTCTTACTTTGCATTTAATTGTTCATTTTGTTTATATTCAATAGGATGTTTTATTTGTGTGTGTGTGTGTGTGCGCGCGCTTTCCTTTTTCTTTCTTTTTTTTGGTGAGGAAGATTGGCCCTGATCTAACATATGTACCAATCTTCCTCAGTTTCATATGTGGAATGCCATCACAGTATGGCTTGATGAGCGGTGTGTAGGTCTGTGCCCTGCATCGAAACCTGTGAACCCCAGGCCACTGAAGTGGAGTGTGCAAAGTCAACCACTATGGCACCAGGCCAGTCTCTCAATAGTATGTATTTATACCATTTCCCTCTGGTATGTTCTGGAAAGCCCACTGGGAAAACTAATTTCCAGTCATGAAGATGCTATATCATCACGAGCAAGTGAGTTACTCTCTTTGTATCTCATCTCAGAATCTTCATCCATATGAGAACAATATTTTCCACCCACCTTACTCACAAGTTTCACACATTCAATCATTCAACAAACATTTATTGAATACATGTTAGATATTGGATAGGAAGTTTTGAATAAATAGAGAGTTCCTTCCCTTGTTAAATTTATAGTCTAGAGGGAAACACATTTTTGTTATCATAGAATTCCTGTAAAGTAAGAGAAGAACTAAATTGGGAGAGCAAAGGGTGTTATACAAGCAAATAGATGTAAGTGAGATAGCTTACTGGAGTATATGATGTCTCAGCTTGAAATCCAGCAGTTGAATAGAGCTATATGTTAGGCATATTACCTCAAATTTAAGACAAAATATATTTTGCAAGTGATAAAACACTGTACATGGTTGACTCTCATGTTATGGGGGACTTAAAATAAAATAAACAATAACAATCCTTCAAATGAGTTGTTTGTATATTGCAATACAGTAGGGTGAAGGATATGGGACCAAAGCCACTAAGCATGTCTACATCCTCACAGAGCACAGACAGCGATAACTGCACTCAGAATCAATGCGAACAATCATCAAACTAATGATAAGAAATATTACTTTTCTAGAAACCCTAATTCCTTTTTAAATGCAGAAAACATGCCCAAATAAACTGCACAAGATATGATAAATATGATACATTTTGACTATTGACTAAAACTGACAATTGCCTTTAAAAGAGAGGAAATATGTAATAAAGTATAATTTTAAGAGAAAGAAAGATTTTGCAGTTCTTGCAGTACAGCTGATAGTGGAAGGATCTTTTAGTGTAAACTGCTATAAAACTAGGCAAATACGTGAAACAACTGCTTTCAAGGAGTGTAGACAGCGAGAGTTTGCAATCCTTTGGAGAATGAAAGCCTGCAAAGTGCCTCCCACGTTCACTCAGTATTTCTCTCTTGGGAGTATTTCCTAAATCTCAGCACAACAACTTGGAGCCCAGAAAAGAGCAGTGGCTTTTCTGGGTGGAAGAAACAGAGATCAGAATTAGAGATGTTAATATAACTGGGATTTGGAAAAAGGTATTGGAGAGAAGTGAGTGGTATAAAAAAGGACCCTAAAATATGTACATAGGATTTCCTGAGCCCACACATATGCTACATGTGCATAAAGAGAGACATTGGGAAGTCTCATAGAAAATGTCTTCTGAGTGTCTAAAAGCTCCAAAAAGAGTTCACAGGTTGCACTGTGCTGGGAAGACATTGGAGCTCTGGCCCTGACAGAGTGAAGAAATCTTGGTAAACACCTTGGACTTTAAACTGAGTCACCAGAATACGGGCTGCATGCTAGGAGTAAGGGCTATGTCCTAGGACAAAAGGGAAATTGAAAAAAACCCTGCCCTATCAGAGATCAAAGTAAGCCTCAACAAAATCGAAGTGATCTGCTGGTAATTTAACAAAGTTAACATTTTTTAGAGGAAAATAAAATAATTCAGAGCTTCTGCATATTATTACCCACATTCTATAGCACACAATAAATAAAATTACTAAAAATGTAATGAAGCAGGAAGAGGGCTAATAATCAAGAGAGAAAATAATGAATAGATGAAGACCCAATGATGATTCAGATCTGGAATTAACACACATAGATTTCAAAATAAATATGACTAATGTGTCTAGCACTTCTTCCTGTTGCTGACTCTGTTGACAAACCACCACCATATACCTGTCAATGGACCCATGGAGATGGTAGCTACACATGGCAACAGCTTCCCTAGGTTTATCCATGAACTCCCTCTTGAAATCACACTTGAACAGCTAGACATGCTTGGTTTCTCAGATTGACTGGTTAGGGATTCCTTCTCTGACCATCCAACTACCCTTCGACCTTCACTTCCCCAGATCATCTTACAACTATGTAAGGTCAAATTCCTATAATTAAGTCACTGTCTCATAGCACTCATGGTAATTCTGATTCACTGACTATACCCTGACTATACCGACTAGACAAGTATAAAGGAATAGAATGAGGATTTTTTCTGTTTTTAAGAAATGTGTCTAGACTAGTGGAAGAGATAATAATCAGAGACCTAGTGTATTTGTTTTCTAGGGCCACTATAACAAAATATGGCAGACTGACTGGTTTAAACAACAGAAATTTATTTTCAATGATTCTGGAGGATGGAAGTCCAAGATCAACGGGTCAATCAGTTTGGTTTCTCCTGAAGCCTCTCTCCTTGGCTGGCAGATGGAGCCTTCTTGCTGTGTACTCACATGGTCTCTTCCCTGTGCACCCACATCTCTGGTGTCTTCGTGTGTCCAAACTTCCTCTTCTTATAAGGACACCAGGCAGATTAGATTAGGACTCACCCTAACTTTGCATTTTAACTTAATCACCTCTTTAAAGGCTTTCTCTACAAATATAGTCACATACAGAGTTGTGGGGGTTAAAGCTTCAATGTATGAATTTTGGGGGGCCGGATTTTACCCAATAACACCTGGTACAGCCAGGGAAAGCAGACCTTCAGAAAATGCATTTAGCAGCATGATTTGCAATGGAAGCAAGGAAAGGAGAGAAAAGAGTGATATGGTTTGTGGTCTCCTGTGTTTCCAGGAAATGCTAAGTATAAGGAGACATATTTATCACCATGTAGGGATCTAGGAATAACATATTTTTAATTAAAAAAAATCTCGTCTGGAAGTAATTATTTGTGATATAATTTTATGAATAATTTTTAAAATATTAATCTAGTTCTGGGTTGTTACAGTAAAGATATCAAAGGAACAAACTCATATGCCACAAAATTCTTGGTGATATAACATAGTAGTCTTTATCAGGGAAGAGAGAGTCTCTAAACATACCTGGTGGCTCGATTCAGTCTATGCAAACATGAATGCAGATGTGCTCTGACAACTAGTCCCACCTCGTCTCGCAACTGAATCATTTCCTGTTTGGAGACAGATGTGTCACCCCTCTCCAGTGATTCTGCATGGAGCTTGTCACAAAAACTGAACAAGGCTGAGGCCCGTGATCCTAACAGGATCATTTCCTTAGGAAAAAAAGGACTGGACGAGCAAAACTTTTTTCTTTTTTTGAGGAAGATTAGCCCTGGGCTACCATCTGCCACCAATCCTCTTCTTTTCGCTGAGGAAGAGTGGCCTTGAGCTAATATCTGTGCTCATCTTCCTCTGTTTTATATGTGGGTCACCTGCCACAGCATGGCATAGGTCCATGCCCAGGAACTGAACCAGCGAACCCTGGGCTGCCCAAGCAGAACATGTGAACTGAACTGCTATGCCACTGGTCTGGCCCAACAAGCACAACATTTCATAGCATGCTTTGGGCAGTGATAACCACTCTTTGCATTAACATGGAGAATCCCTAATGGAGAGCTGAGCATTCAATAAATTCTTTAGGCTCATCCTCTACTGTTCTGGAGGCTCAAAGTGCTCAGAATCTTTCCACCTCCAGAAGGAAGCTTCCTGCCTTGTGTAGCTGAGCCATCATCTGTTCTTGTAATGACCAGCACTCTCAGGAGAAGAAAGTTCTATTTCATTCTAACTGTTCTATGATAGGATTTAGAATCACTTTAGTGACAGGTGTCCTTCAGCATAAGGATCTCTCCCTGTTCCAGCATTGACATCACAAGAAGAGCAGACTTTCCTCAGCAGTTACTTGGCTCAAATAACCAGGTCTCTGCCTGGGACAGGATCCAGGGCAGGTGAGGTGGAACTCCTCAGTGACTCATACTAAGCAGTCCCTGCTCTCTCTTATTATGTCTAGTGTTCCACGCAAGGCCTCCAGTTCCTCCTGAGACACATCTCAGAAGAGAGTGTCAATGTTTTCATACTTGATTTGGCCCAGGAGGAGATCTCCTTCCATCTGAAGAAACAGGCAGCTGAGGAAGAAGACTCAGACACATACTGCTGTACCATGTGCTATGCTACTGTACTGTACTATGAGTGGTACAATGACAAGAACTGCAGATATAGCTGATGCTGCAGGAATATTGCCTGAGGGACATAATAACAAACACAGGTATGTCATGAAGCTTAACAACGATAAAGATCTTGCCATTAGTAGCCATCCTGATTCTCCCTTGAGCTAGATGTATGGCATTGAGCTTTAAGATGCAGCTCAAAGTTGAGAGTGAAGAACCAGGTCAAGGTCATTCTAGGACCACAAGAACTTAGAAGATGTGACAAGTATCCCAAAGGTTGATTAAATCAGCGCTCTCCAGTAGACTGTCAGTTAATCAAAAATAGTAGCAATTTCCAACTTCACACTTGAGTGGTGTAGATGGTAAAGTTACCTACATGAGATTCCCCTTCACTGCAAATGAGTAATAATGAAATGAGTGTGTTGACTCATAAAAAATAACTTGACATTTTGTATTCTAATTTCCACTGTCGATTTGTAAGACCTTTGGAAATTCTGTTAGTCCCTCTGATTCCTTCATTAGTGAAATATAGGTTAGAATTAGATGAAATCTATTTCCTTGCAGCCAATGTCTGTATGATTCCATTCACCTCAAACATTTCCTGACCACTGGTTTTGTGCTTTTAACTTATGTGAGGAATACAAGGAAATTAGCCAATCTGAATTTCTACAAAAAATTTTTCTTTTTCTTGCCTAGAATTTTACTCAGTCCTTTAAATATAAAATTTCAAGCTGAAAAGCAAAAACAAACATGCCAACTATCAGAAAAAAGAACAGAAATAGGATGAGACACCATGGCTTTCCTGAGAAATCAAGAGACGATCTGTGTCCATAATGTATGTGTGGTGTAGTGTCTACCTGTGTGTGTGTGTATTTACTGCAAAGTAACCATGATATCACTTTTACAAATGAACAATAATCCTTGTGAAGTTACCAAATCTCTTTTCTATTTACTTGAGATTCTTCTAATAATTTATTCATTTGATACGTAATATGTGTCTTAGATATAAAAACAGGAAATGCAACTGGAAAGAAATAGACATTGTATCTATCTTCAGGAAGCATGAAATACTATGGAGTACATCAAAATAGTGTAATCAAAGCTATTACAGGAGAAAAGAAACTATGACCAGATAACAGAGGGATCTACTTTGGAAAGTGAAGATAATGGATGGCTACCTAAGACACGTGATGTCCAGGCTAGGACTTACAAAAGAGTTAGTCAAAAATGGAGGCAGGGAAAGAGTTCTAGAAAAAGAAACAGAATGTGCAAAGGTATAAAGTCAAGATTTAGTTTAGTAGAATGACATTAAATTGGTTCAGGATGGCTGGAGCAAACAACTCAAAAAGGGCAATAGTAATTAGAACACTAAAGGAATAAGCAGACACTACTTTGTGAAAATAATTATAAGCCATTATCAGAACACTAAAGGAATAAGCAGACACTACTTTGTGAAAATAATTATAAGCCATTATCAGATGCTTGGACATTATCTTGAAGACATTGATGAGCACTAAAAGGCATTTGAGCAAGCAAATCGTACAATGAAATGCTATTTTTGAAATATTACTTACTTTCCAGATATGAATATATATATTTAAATATATATATAATTGTATACATATTTTCCCTTGATTTTTCTTTTTCTCTTAATTCTGGAGTAATTCTATCACAGTATTTGGTAGGTCCTTCCTTATAGTGAGTAAAAGTCATGTCTTAGATGTACACTTATTCAAGAAAAGCTAAAATTCATATTTTAATCAACATTTCTCAGCCTGGCCACAGGGGAGCACTATTTTAAAAGTATTCTAAACAGATATACATAATTCTGTGTAAGTGGTGAGCGTGTTGTGAAGTCTCTCTGACTGGTTGTCCCCTAAAGTTGCAGTATTCTGGAAAGAACTACACAAGCCTCATTCTGAGCTCCAAGTAACTCCTGCTGAGGAAGCCCATTCAGGAGCTGACCTGGTCCATTGGATTTGCTGGGGAGCCAAGGGATGAAGACTCTCCTGAATTTCATACTTTCAGGCCCTCTGTTGTGGCACTTGGCCTATGAGTACACAGATCAGTCTCGGAGAGGCTTAGCATGGTGGCAGCACCTGAGCCAGAAAGTGGGTCATCTTTCTGTCCTGGGAAGGGCCCTTCTGCGAATCAGACTTAAGAAACATGAGAAATGTTCTGTAATTATGTGTTAATATTTATGTTTTGAGTAAAGAAGGAGTGGAGAAAAATCACATTACTTTCTATAAAATTGAGCATCTCATGACAGCTTCTCGTGTCTTCCAATTGTCTTTCTGTTCAGGTGTGAGAAGCCAAGAAATGGAGAAGTCCTCAGTCCTGGATCATCCAAGAGGGGAAAGATGTTACCATCAACCGCAATTTCTCAAAAACTTTATATTGCTTCAACTGGTACTGGCAGAAAGATTGTGAAGGTCCTGTCTTCTTGATGATGTTAATGAAAGATGGTGAGCTTTAGCTTAGTCAATATCTCTTATTTATGGCTCTTAATAGACATATAAACTATTTCTCTATTCCTCCTGTAAGTTACATTTTTTCACACACATTATTCTACAAATACTCAGAGTTTACAGAGAAATAGATTCTTAGACCCTAAAAAAAGAACTCCTCCATTATTCCCAACACACACACACACTCACACACACACACTCCACAGTGTGTAGAAGGTGGACTAAGCCACAGGGAGGTGGAGCTTCTCACTACAAAGCTGAGTGACAAAACTTAGGAGTGGCTGCTGCTAAATCTATCTCATGAAACTCATGGGTTACAGAAACAAAATTAGCTACAAATTCAAGATATGATGCATACCAGAATTTAGAGGGACTTGCTATCAAGGTGTATCCTTATAGCAAGAGTAAAGGATCATGAAGACACAAGTAGGAGTGTTGCTGGGCCTCCTGTGGATACAAATTTGCTGTGAGTTAAGAACACCCCAGAAGGAACCTGGAGGCATATCACAACTGAATTTGGAAAGGAGCAAGGGAGGAAAGCAGAGATGGAGGCAGAGAGAGAGCACGAGTCTCTTGGGCTGTGTCCTCTACCATGGGGATGGAAGCTAGAGGAACATTTCCTACACTTGGAAACAACCACAGTCATTTTGCAGTGACCCTCACCTGTGCCTATTTCTCTTTCTCAACAGGGGTGGAAGCTCAGATGAAGGTGGAGCAGAGTCCTGGAGTGCTCATCCTCCAGGAGGGGAGCAATTCCTCTCTGATGTGCAATTGTTCTACCATCATCACCAGTGTGCAGTGGTTCCAACAAAATCCCGGAGGACCCCTTATAGCTTTATTTTACATGACCTCTAAACCGCAGGAAAAAGGAAGATTAAAATCCACAATCAGTACCAAGGACCGTTACAGCCACCTCTACATCAGAGACTCTCAGCCTGGGGACTCAGCCACTTACTTCTGTGCAGTGAAGCACAGTGCTCTCCTGACACCTGCTGCCTGTACAGAAACCAGAGCTGAAGACCTAACCCAACCCCCAGAGGGAGAGCAGGGGCCCAGTGTAATTAGAATTGTATTCCTATTGTCTTGCATCTCCTGACTTATGCAGAAGGCATTTCTAAACGAGCTACAACTTGACACTACAGTGCAGGCACATACGTGGTTCATCTGGAGATCTCTGTGGGGATAGTTTTACTAGACAAAATCTATAGATTGATCAAGTCTCTCCTATCTAATTCTGTCTTTTTGGACAGGAGTAAGCAGCCAAAGTGTGGAGCCGAGTCCTTGATCTCTCCATCTCTGAGAGCAAGAAAGCACCAATATCACCTGTACTTTCTTTTCTACATCTTTATAGCTTATTTGGTACAGACAGAAGCCTGAGAAAAGCTCCATGATCCTTTTTCTAACATTTAAATGAGGAAGAAAATGAGAAAAAAGAAAGTTCCACTATTAGTATGAAAGATTGGCATAACTTTCTGCATACCAAACCAGAGACTCAGCCACCTACCTCTGTATCATGGAGGCACAGTGCTTCCCAGACACCTGATGCCTGAACTCAGGCATGTGGTTGCAACCCCCAAACCCAACAACGTAGTGATGTCTGTATGTTTTTACTCACTTCTAACATGGTGTTGAGAAGTGTACAATTGATAAATCAAAGTGATTTCACTTTCAAAAAATTTGGAAATACTGATGAGTATTCAATCTAGTAACAATCTCTGTCCTAAACAGAACCATTCCTAATATCCTAATCTCTAAGTCAGGGAATTGGTGATTCAGCTCCAGTCAGAGGATCGCTCAAACCTGTGTTAAAATGAATACTTTTACTCTGACTGCTGTTTACTCTTACCCTATATTATGTTTATGTATGAAAGGAAATCATAAGAAAGCCAAACTCTTAAGTGTCAAAGAAAAAACAATGCTATGCCCTGTCTCCCTCACTTATTTTTTTGTTCTGGCTTCTTACAATGCATTTAATTGTTCATTTTGTTTATATTCAATATGATGTTTTATTTGTGTGTGTGTATGTTTTCCTTTTTCTTTTTTTTTTTGGTGAGGAAGATTGGCCCTGAGATAACATATGTGCCAATCTTCCTCTATTTCACATGTGAAATGCCATCACAGCATGGCTTGATGAGCAGTGTGTAGGTCTGCGCCCTGCATCGAAACCTGTGAACCCCAGGCCACTGAAGTGGAGTGTGCAAAGTCAACCACTAGGCCACCACGCCAGTCTCTCAATAATATGTATTTATATCATTTCCCTCTCTGGTATGTTCTGGAAAGCCCATTGGGAAAACTAATTTCCAGTCATGAGGATGCTATATCATCATGAGCAAGTGAGTTACTCTCTTTGTACCTCATCTCAGAATCTTCATCTATATGAGGATAATATTTTCCACCCACCTTACTCACAAGTTTCACACATTCAATCATTCAACAAACATTTGTTGAATACCTGTTAGATATTTTATAGGAAGCTTTGAATAAATAGAGAGTTCCTTCACTTGTTAAATTTATAGTCTAGAGGGAAACACATTTTTGTTATCATAGGGTTCCTGTAAAGTAAGAGAAGAACTAAATTGGGAGAGCAA